GGGGGGGGGGGGCAGGTACGGGGCAGCAGACTGGAGAGACGGCAGAGATGAACTCGGCGAAGAGTTCTGGGCCCAAGTGCAGCAAATTAAAAGAGAAAAGGAAAAGGCGTGGAGAGACATGCAGGTGCAGCAGCAGCAGCAACAGCAGCAGCAGCAGCAGCGGCAGCAACAGCAGCAGCGGCAGCGGGGCCTTCAGGTTTTCTGCTGCATGCACTGAGCCAGTGCACCTGCTGCATGCATGCGCTTTGTCTGCATGCAGAGCCAAAGAAGAGCAGCAGGAAATTACCAGTGGGGCCCCTCGGGGGGCCCCCCGGGGGGCCCCCCGGGCGGCCCCGCTGGGGGCCCCACTGGCCCGTACCCTTTGGGTGCACTTTTTGCTTTTCTGCGGGCAATGCCGCTGCTGCTGGTGCCGCTGGTGCTTTTCTTTTTAGTCTACAGAATGGCTCTGTGAGGCCTAGGGTTTAGGGTTTAGGGTTTAGGGTTTAGGGTTTAGGGGGTTATGGTGTGTTCTCTGCGCTTCTTTTTCAGCTCTTTTTCCTTTGTGCCCTTTTTTAGTCCTCTTTGCTTTGCCTGCTGAGCCGCTAAAGCTCGAGGGCTTAGGGTTTAGGGTTTAGGGTTTAGGGTTTAGGGAGATTTTGATGTGCTCTCTCTGTGGTATAACTATATATTTAAGAAAGTAAAAGAATAAATAATTATTTTAGTTGGTTAAATTAAGTAAAAGGATAAGTAATTATATCAATTAATCAAAAAGAAGAATAAATAATTATTATTTATTAATTAAATTAAAATTCTCAAAACGCCAAAAGGGTCTTTTTGTTTTCTCTGCAGCGCCAAAGCCAGGCAGGGCGAGCAGCCGCTGACTCCCATATTCAGGGACGAGTTGGGTGAGTGGCTTTGGGGCTTTTTGCATGCATGCATGCATGCATGCATGCATGCATGCATGCGTGAATGCATGCATGCATGCGTGAGTGGATGCATGCATGCATGCATGTGTGCATGCACACGCATATGCATGCGCTTTCTGTTTTTTTCTTTTCAGGCCGGGCCTTCTTTATTGACTCCCGAGGGCGGCAGTTCAGGTAAAAGTGATGAAACAAAAAAGTGAAAAAGTTTTTGCATGCGCAGGAGCTGTCTGTACACCTGGAGCTGCCTTTACACCTGGGGCGCTGCGCGTTAGACACGAAGCTGCAGGCAGGCTGCAGCTATTTTTCCCTTTCTTTTTGCCTTTTAATGTTTAATTATTCGTAATTAAATGCAATTTAAATATAATTAATCAGTTGGCGATTATTTAATTCATTTTTCGCTTCTTGCGACGCAGGGTGATGGAGTTTGACCTACTCTACCCAACTTCTGGGGACCCCCGTCAGTAATGGGCAAATCCATGCAGCAAGGGAATCTTCAAGGGCCTTAAAGGCCAATTAAAAACAAAGTTAAAAGTTTATTTGTGAAGTCTTTAGACCATTTTAGAGCACCTGTACTCTGCGGTGTACGTACACCCGCTGCGGTGTACGTACACCCGCTGCGGTGTACGTACACCCGCTGCGGTGTACGTACACCCGCCGCACCGCAGCGCGGAAAAGGAATATTTCAAGTGTATAAAAGCAGAGGGCACAAGAGGCCCATTTAGGGCCCCTTTGGGGCCTCTTTAGAGCCCTTTTAGGGTGCCATTAGGGCCCCTCTGGGGGCCCTTTAGGGGCCCTTTAGGGACCCCAAAGGGCCCCTTCAGAGGCCCTTGAGGGGACCTTTAGGGACCCCCGGGGGGCCCCTACAGGGGGCCCCCTGGGCACCTCTCCGGTTTGTACCTGTTGCCTTTTATCGCTTGCCTCCTTTCCTTTTGCCTGTTTAGGCTGCTGCTGCTGCTGCTGCTGCTGGCAGCAGCAGGAGCAGCAGCAGCAGTTGAACAGGAAGTGGCCAGGGGGCACTGCAGAGCTTACGGGAGGCGGAGGAAGTGCATGCAGCTCACGGCCTAGGGTTTAGGGTTTAGGGATTAGGGGTTGGGCAGCGACGCCTCCCGCTGCACCTGCGTGAGGCCCATCCCCGCTGAAGCAGGGAGGCAGCAAACTATATCCCAGCAGCAAGCAGCAGCTTGCTGCCGAAGCTGCAGCAGCCACTGCAGCAGCAGCAGTAGCCAGGAGGCACTCACCGCGACGACCAGCAGCAGCAGTGGCAGAAGCAGCAGCAGCAGCAGCTTTATTCCAAGGACTGTCTAAAACCACCAAAACCCTAGAAGAGATAATTTTAAACCCTACCATATAACGTCGCTGCAGCAGCACCGCCGCTCCCTGAGCAGCAGCGGCGGTGGTTTAGCTGTTGCTGCTGTTGCTGCTGCTGCGGTTATTGCTGCTGCTGTTGTTGTTGCTGCTGCTCATGGTTTCACGGCCGCTATGAACTGCTGCAGCGGTAGCAGCAACGCTGCTGCTGCAGTTATGGCCTCTCTGTCTGTGTGCTGGTCCTGGGGGTATGTACACTCGATGGCTCCGAAACGTAAGACTGTAAATCCAAGACAGTGCCAGAAAAACAACCAAGAGGGCCTAAACTCTTTTTAATTTAATTTAAAAAACAAGAATAAAAAAATAAACGAAGAAAATATTAAAAAAGGTACTCAAGGAAGCTGAAGGACAAGGCGAGCTGTCGAGACACCCCAATTTGACGAGTTGAATTCAGCGGATTTGATGAAACTTTAACTAAACAAATTTAATTTAAGACATTAAATTAAAATGTAAATAATGATTATCATTTTATATTTGCTTTTACTTTATTTCGATTCTAATCATGGCCCAGGACCCTCTGGGGGGGCTGGTGTCGAGCATCCATGCAAAGTCCAAACTTCGGGACTGCTCTCCTCGTTTTCAACTAAACTGCACTTTAATTTTAAACAATTTAAACTAATTTCTCTTTAATTTGTTTTTTATTCTAAAATAGACGATCGCAGACGCCCCCAAACATGTCTTTGCAAAAACACGAAAACTTTCGTCTGCAAAGCTGCAGCGCATGCAAGTGGCGAGCGCCAAGGTGTACGTACACCCCACGAGGCCCTTTGGGCAGGGTGACGAAGACCAAAACGTCCCTTTGAAATGCATGCAAATCTGCACATTCCTTGCAGCAGCAGCAGCAGCAGCAGCTGCCGCTGCTGGTGCTGCCTATTGTCTCTCTGAATTCACTTTAGTTTTCTGAACTATGCAGACAGCGCAGGGGACCTCGCTGCTTTCTACTGCACGCGTCTGCGGTTTCGAGTGTCTGTACACCTCAGCGTGCATGCACGCAAATGCCCCGCTGCGCTGCAAAGTTTGGTATTTTTGAAAGTTCAGTTGCTGCTGCTGCCAGTTGCTGCTGCTGCCAGCTGCTGCTGCTGCCTCTTCTGGAGCTCCTCTTTGCTATCAGTCTTCGACATCTTGCTGCTTGTTGCTTTGGTTAAGGGTGCGCGCGGCTGCTGCTGCTGCTGCTCCGTTCTTGCTGCCCCTGTTGTTCTGCGGGGCCCCCCCGGGGCCCCCAGGGCCCCCCGAGGGGCCCCCCGAGGGGCCCCCAGACGGGCCCCCCGGGGGG